GCAAGCTCTTAACTCCTACACGATACTGCCTTGCGGTTATCAGTTATTTAGCCTGAAAAGATGTGCAGGATCCCAGGCACAACCACTTCTGCTTCTAAGAAAGATATGCTTCTTTCAAAAATACCAAAAACAAAAGTAAGATCAACTCTCCTAATACACATACATCTATTAGCCAATCCCAAACTCCTACAATATCCTACTGCCCCGCACAATAACTCAAAATTCTTTATTATAATTATTAGGTAAGTACATATACAGATTAAAGACACATGATATGAATTTAGGCACTAATAAAAACTACACACACATACAAGGCTGAAAGTTTATTCCTTTAAAAAGGTTCATCATTTTGCTTTTTTCGTTGCTCAGTAATCTAAGTTTATCTTCTAGAAAATTCTTAGCATGTTCTCATTTTTCCTTGGTCTCTCTCTTTTCTCTGCTCACATGTCACCTCCTCAGAAAAGCCCTCCTCAACTAATCAAACTCTCCGTGCCTTCTCAAACCCCATGATTCTTTTACTTCCTGTTTACATCACTACCTTAATTACATTATATATTTATACACTTGTTTGTTTTCTACTTCTGATATTTATACACTTGTTTGTTTTCTACTTCTGCTGTTAGAAAATAGACTGCACGTGGGGCAACTCGTTCCCTGCTGTCCCCCTAGTACCTAAACCGTGCCTGCATCTAGCGTGTGCTCAGTGATTTTGCCGAACAAACGAATGAATGAATTCGATGCTCCCTTTGAGGAGAGCCACTTGGTGCAGGCAGAGAGCAGCAAGGGCCGGTCAGCTCACTGCCCCATGTCCTCTCCCCACCCCCACTTTCCACATCTGTAGCCCTGGAGTCTCGACCTTGTTAAAGATGTGAATTCTCACCAGGTAGGGGAAGGTGGTAAGGGTGGACTCCTATTATCAAGGACAGGTTTAGGAGAGGAGATGGTAAATCCTGCCTTACTGGTTTTGGTTGCAAGGGAGTGGTAGGAAAACAAAGGGCTGTGAAAGGCATGGATGTGGGGTCCTGCTCCACCTCTCTCACCTGTACCCCTACAGAGAATCTGCCTCCAAGTTATTTTTTTCCAGCAGGTTTCTAGTATCCATCCTTTTACCTCCACGCCTACAACTGTGCCCCCTTACATTACACCTGGACTGTTACAAATGCCCCCTAACTCCCAGCTATCTTCCGACATTTCATTCCACTCATTCATTCTGCACAGGTGTAGGACAAAAAAGCGAAACCTTTATGGCATTCCCTAGCTCGAGAATCTCGAATGGCTTCTTTACACCGGGAAAAAGGAAACCATTTATCCTGGAACACTATTTCTCTTATAAGTTTGCCTACTTCAGTACTCCATGAATTACTGGAAGGCAGGCTGCCCGATGGTTTTCTCTCTCCAGAGCCCAGGACAGTGGCTGGCAGAGTGGGTGCGCATGAAACAATCTTTGCTACAAGAGTGTCCCTCGCCAATTCCATTTTGTGTTCAGCAGATAATACCCTACACTGCACATCAGGGCACTTGGTCGTAAATGCAATCTGATTCCTTTTTCATGTGTACAGCTCTTGTCTGCCCTCTCCAAAAGCAGAGGGCTTTTTAGGACAGACTCATATTCTCTTATGTCCACCATGTCTCAGGACTGTTACCACTACTAGGTACATATGTGCTGTACAGAGATCCAAAAATCTAGATTTGGAAGGAATTTCATTATGAAAAAATAATACAGACCACACAGTAACTGTAATTTATAAATTTTCAAATGGCAAAAGAAAAACCAATGTTAAGAATTTGAGCACAAAAGGGCTGGATTTGGGGTCTTAATAAGTACCTGAAAGCAGACCGGTGGATCTGGGCAAATTGCCTAGAAGCCCAGTTTGAAGGATAGTACAAAGACTGTCTCTGACTCTGAATTTTCCTAACCGGAAAAGATGACCTTTGTCTACCTATAGTCTTAATAACATGTTTAAGGGAAAAAAGAAGGGTGGGGAATGGTGGGCCGTAGAATTTGGTGTGCTTTCGTATTTCCGGAAATGCAAGACAACTCTTCGGTTCAGAATGACACTGATAGGACCACTTTCTATGTAGACACCTTTTCACCTCCACAGAGATTTTGTAGACCCCTATGCATTATAACAACTAATTAGAACACTTAGATGTCACAGCTATATGCAATTTATAAATAGTTTGTAAAGTGCTTTGAAAATGGGAAGTGCTAGGCAAGTACTCAAATGATTATATATTAAAAGCCTTTGATATATAAAATCATTTTATTTAATAACTGGCTCTTTAAAAGGCACAGTACTTTATAGCTGAACAGAATTTCTGAGCTTGAACCATTGATATTTAGAGTGAAATGCTGTTAGCAAATCAGACACTGATCAAGTTTTTTTCAGTTTATATAAATAAATGTATGATTCTTCTCTATCTCCCTCACTTTTTCATTGACCAGTTCTGCCTTCCCTTAGGTTCCTGCAGACTTTTTGCAAAGATTCCTCCCACACCTCAGTGACTCATGGTTATCCTGCCTGCCCTGCCCTGTTTTTTCCTTTCACACATCTGCCTTGTCAAGGTGTTTTGTATGTTCCTGAGTTTACGGCTACACTAAACAGGTTCAAGACTGCATGCCACATCATCAGTGACAATAAATCCTTCTAGGAGCAATGAAGCCATGAGATATGGCAGGTGGCCACCAGTGGGTGCATCTCCACCAGTGGGTGTACTGTTATTGATAACTCCAGTCTACTATCACCATTCCACACTGTTATGTCCACTAATTAAACTTGGCTTTCATCTCCTGACAGGTCTTGGTTCATAGGCATTGAACTTCATTTAAATAATCCTGTTTCCTATCACCACCGAACTACTCATAGGCAGAATTGTAGAAGAGGCAAACAAATGTTTGATTGTTTACCACTATGCCTTTAGGACTTCCTTACATCTTCAAGTGCTAATGTCCTCACACTGACATTGGCTTTCTCTTAGTATTACCCTGGGAAAATACTCCCTGTCCCTGCCCCGTAACTTTGATCTTTCCCCATCCATTCCTCCTCCCACTTAATTTAGTCTCCGACGTCCTACAGTATATTTTCATTATTGGAAAACCCAAACTAAGCCATTCTTCTTGTACGAGTGTTAATGCTTAGCCTTTTTAGGCCCTAAACTAAGGCTGCCAGCTGCCCATCAACCTCCCCGTTAATTCCAACCCATATTTTTCTGTCCTCATGTGACTCATGCATCATTCTCCCCTCTTTGAAAGTCTTGGCTTCCACAACTCGACTGTCTACAGACTTTCCCACCACGTCATTGGTTGCTCTTTTGCCCAACCTTTAAATACTGAGCTTATTCAAGGCTTGGCTTGGCCCCTCTTCTTTATTTATTTAAAAATTTTTTTTTAATTCTTTGGCCTTGCCACACGGCATGTGGGATCTTAGTTCCCTGATCAGGGATCCAACCCTTGTCCCCTGCAGTGGAAATGCAGTCTGAACTACTGGACCACCAGGGAAAAGTCCCAAGCCCTCTTCTTAATCACATTCCAGTTTCTACGGATTTACTTCATCTTTATGGCAAGAACTCACGAAGTTTATCTCTATTTAAATCTCTTTCATGGCCTCCAACTCCTGTCTACAGATTACCTCATTCAACAGGGAACTTTGGATTTCAGTCACCTTCTCTACCTCCCAATCAATCCCCCCAACCCCCCACCAGGCTTCCCGTGTCAGTAATTTCGCCCCATACCTCGATAGGAGTCACCCTTCTCTTTCCTCACCTTCCACATCCAATTCCTGAGGTCTACCAATCTGTGCCAGTTTGGCTCTCAAACGTATCTCAAATCCACAATCTTTTCTCCATCACTAGCTTATGGCCCTTCCAGGCCACTTCAGCTCTTACAGTTTATCTGCTTCTACCCTGGCCTCTCTACAATCCATTACAACACGCTGTGATCAGTTATTCAGATGTCTTCCCATTGTACTTCCCAAAGTCCTTCCCACACCAGAGCTCTTCCCGTGGAGTCTATCATAGGCCCTTCTCCTCCTTGCTGGCCCTGCTACAGATATGCACATCTTTCAAGACCTTTATTTCCTCACACCACCAGTGTTCTGCTTCAGGACTTTTGCAAGTGCTATCCCCCCAGAATGCCTTTTCTTTTTGCACAGCCAGCTCCTTCTCTTCCTGTGATCTCTGGAAGGTCCTCTCTGCTTCCGTACCTAAAGCAGATTCCCCCCTCAGGGTACTGGGGGGTGGGGGTGCTCAGGTTCAAAGGCTGACAGATATTAAGGGTGAATTAAGAGTCAGGTGGGGGTAGGACAGGTATGAGACACAAGGCTAAAGAGGTACACAGGGCAGCTGTTAAGTGTGATTTAAGAATATTTTAGGTTTTCCAAAAAAATCATTTTCCCCACATGCAAGTTTCCTCTTCCCTGTCCTTACTTTCTCTCAAATACTGTTCCTTTTAATGTAACCCTGGGCTATACTGAGATACCTACCCAAGGACTGAAAATATTATCTGGTCATCCCACTTTTCTCCTTCTTTAATATATTAGCATCCTGAAATTAGAGCACTGAACTGGTATCTGTCTTATAAATGCTACCATAAAGATGGAGCCTGATACCACCTAACATTCTCATGTGAAACCAGAATTCTCACAATTCTTTCAAATTATTTCCCACCCTTGCCCAATCTACCAGTCATAGCAAAGGATGCAGTTGTCTCATGAATTACTAAAAACATCTAGGAAGAGGCCAAGTCCTCCCTTCACTCCCACCTTTCTTGTCTAGACTATCCACAGCCTATCTGGGCTCTTGCTCTATTGCATCTCTCCCTCGCCCCCAATCACAGGTGTGCATACACATTCCTTTCAATTCCCTTGATCAAAGTCCTTGTCTAGGCCTCTGATTATCTCATAGTTTCCTCACTTTCAATGTTGGTTCAATTAAAAGAAAAAAAACCCCACAAAAACCTAAAATAGTCAACCTCGAGGACAAAGGAACAAGAAGCACTCAAATCAGTTTAAATAAAAGAGGGAATTTATTAGAAGAATACAGTTTCTTGCAGGGACTCCAACAGCTGAAACGGGTTAAGAGCTAGAAGCAGGCCTTTCTGCAGGACAGATCATGTAATCACAAACGTTTACTTCTGGGTTTTGCAAGAGCACGAATAGAATATCCTAGTGGTCAGTCCTCCCTGTATAGTGCATAAGGGACTAGAATGTGGCTTCATTTCTGCTGGCTTTTTGATCCTTATATTCCTTTATGCTGGCCTCAAACTTGTCAAGCACATGCTGGCAGACATTCATGAGCTCAGTCAGGCCTCTCTGAAAGGGCTCAACAGCTGGAAGGGCACCTCGAGTCTGTATGCGCAAATTAATTTTGCTCTCTGAAGGATGGGTTGTAGTATAACCACAAAACTCCACTTCCGGGTTCTTCATGATCATGTAACGAAGAGAATTTCCTAGGGTATGGTCCTCCTCGTGCAATACAAATGTCACACAGTGTCTATCTGTCCCAGCTGCCTGGACCATTTCCAGGGCTGTCTTCCTCTCGCCTTCAGCCATTGGGGTCTTCAATCCAGATATTTTTCTACACACATATTTTTTATAAAAATGAGATCACACTGAATACGGTTTTGTAACTAGCTTTTTTTCATCTACTATATCACAATTGCAACACGTTATTACTCTAATGCACTCCAATTACACAGAACGATTAGCATTAGCCCTTATTATTTTCCTGCCTCCACGTATTCTACCAGTCAATAATTTATTGCCTCCAATTTCTCCCTCTTCCATTTGGCCGTCCACATGGCCACAAGGGGAGTGTCCTTAAAACAAAAAAGTTTGCTAAAATTTTCTTTTGGTAGGCTCACAAGAAAGGAATAGGATTAGAATAGGGTGGTTATTGCTAAAGGATGAAAAGGAAGTTGAAAGGCGTGGAAAAGCGCAGATTATAATAAAAATAGAAACTAAAGATCATCAACGTGCAGGGCCAACTAGGGCTTCCGTTTGCAGGAGGTAAGGAAATTAGAATGGAAAGTCTGAGAAGAGCACCAAGCAGGAGGGAGAAAGCGCTCAGCGCACAGAGTGGATCAATTAGCGCTCGGCACAGAGGAGGGACGTGGGCCCGACCAACACACCACCCCCATCGCTCGGGGAACAGTGGCCTGGTGCACGTTATCTTTATTTGCTCTTCCTGTTCCAAATGGGGGTGGGCAGTTAGGGAGCTTAACTCTGGTCTCATAACTCGTGTTCCCTCCTTGATATCGACTGTACTGAGAGTCTCCACTCAAGCAACCCAGGTGTCCCCCCCTCCCTTCCCGATCGGGGCCCCTCTCCCCGCCCTGGCGCCCACTGCTCCCTCCTCGACTGTCCTCCCAGCCAGGCCCTCGCTGCCAGGCCGGGCCGCGGAGGCCAAGGCCCCGGTCGGCCACGGGCTCCCGGCGCAGGGCGCGGCCAGCTCCTCCCGCCCCCCTCCTCGGCCGTTACCTCTCCAGCTCCTGGTCGTCTTCCATGGCGGGGGCGACTTCCGGGATCCTCAGGTGGTGCTGGCTGGCCGGAGGCGCTGCCCCATACCTCGAAGCGAGCAGGCGCCGCAGGAAGGAAGGACTGACGGGAGGAGCGCGGACGGAAGGAAGGAGGAGGAGCCGCAGCGGCGCGGCAGGGCCCGGCCACTGGGCGGGGCGTGGAGACTCCGCCTCGGAGCCTCGCCCATGGGCCCCGCCCCCGGCGCGCGGAGGGCGGCGGCCAGGCCTGAGCGGTTCACCTGCGCTCCCGAGCGAGTCGGCCCGCAGAGCTAGCCGGGAGACTGGTGCGGTCGGGCTCCTGCCCCGCCCCGAGGCCGAGACCGGCCAGTGGGCGCCGGAGCTCAGCCCTTGGCACCTTCCCTCCAGGTGATGGCGAAGGGGGCGGGGCCTTACCTGCCGCCCCCAGATCACCTTCCTTCTCGGTGCCAGGATCGGGCCTCTTTCTGACTTGCTGCTGGCCCGGTGGGTGACGGGATTAATCCCAGGAAGGACCTCACCTCCCGGGGACGGGGGCGTTCATGGCACGACGGACTTACACTATAGTTGAGCAACACACTTTGAAGAATTTCACCACAGAATAGCATGGGTGTAACACGGTATTTGTCTCATCTGGGATCTTGCAGCTGCACAGCTCAACTGGGTCAAAGGACAAGCGTTTGTTTTTTATCTTTGGGGGGAGGGGAGGAATGAGAGTTTGGAAGGAAACTGTCCCCACTCCCCATCTTTTCTAGGATCTCTTTCTACCCCTGGAGTATGTCCTGCCTCGCTTTGGACGTCCTTTTCCCTTACCCTTTTGGCCTCTTAAGCCTCCTCACCTGCGGAACCTCCCGCTCACCTTTGTTTTCAGGTGCCCCTGCCCCCGCCTCGGCAACCTTTCACCACCCAGACTCGCTCTCCGCCCTCCTTCTCCCTTCGTACCTCTCCGCTCTCCGTCCCCTCAGGTGTTCTTCTTCGCCAATAACCCTCTCCCCTCCTGGCGGTCCTGCTCCCCTCGCCCCCATCACCCCGGCCAGCCCCGGTCCCTACCTCCGACCCCCGCAGTCCTCCCACCCGACACGCCCACAGTTCTGTCTTCCTGCGCCACCTCTTCTCCTTACCCCACCCCCGATCCCCTAGATGTTCACCACCTCCCCCAGCTGTTCCCCTCTCCTCCCGCCGTCGGCGGTGAGCGCAAGAGGCACTTCCCAAGCCCGGGCAAATCAGGCGGGCTGCGTGTACAGCCGAGGGGTGGGGGAGGGCGGGCGGCGAGGGGCGGTGCGGGCTCACTCTAACTCCTAGTGACGGCCCAGGCCTGGCCCGCCCCCCGAGCTCTCGGATAGGCGGAGCCTCCCTCTGGCCCGCCCCCTCCCGCCCTGTGCTGTCGCCGATTGGCTCGGGTGGGTGTCGGGTTGCGCGGCTCGGCCCTGGCGTTCGCCCGCGGGAAGGCAGCAGGGGCGGTTGAGAAGTGAAGTCTTGGCCAGAGTTTGCTTCTTGCCAGGAAATCCGCGGCGGCGGCGGCGATTCCCGGCGGAGCGGAGGCCGGCCGGCCGGCCCCGCGCTCCTTCAGCGGGCCGCGGAAGCGGAGCAGACGCTGGGCTGCGGCGCCGGGAGCCGGGCGTGCCCGGGCAGGCGCGCTCCCCCGGTGAGTAACTTTGCCCTGCCCGCCTCGCTCTGCGCCGGCTCGCGGGTCCGGCCGCGCCTCAGGTGCGGGCGGCGTGGGGTGTGGGGCGGGCGGCGTGGGGTGTGGGGCGGGCGGCGTGGAGTGTGGGGCGGGCGGCGTGGGGTGTGGGGCGGCCGGAGCGGCGCCGCGGCGTCTTCCGCGCTCTCCTCGCCCGGCCGGGCTGCGGGGACGCGGACCGGTGTGGGGCCGCCGCGCTTGTCCGGGGAGGAGGGCGCGGGCTGCCGGCGCCGGGTGCCCGCCGTTGTTACCGTTTGGTGGTTCCGGCCACCGTCTCGCTGGTCTTTGCGTCGCTTGCTCCAATTTTAGGGAGGGGAGAGGTGGGGATGAGTTTTCTGTTCCCTGCGTGTATGTTGCCGTGAATGAGAGTGCCGCCAGCTGCCTTACCTCGGTCTTGTTCCCTGCAAAGGAGTGGGGAGAGATCATACCCTCGGTCCCAGCCTGTTGCCTGTGAATTCTCACCCTTCCCTTTAAACTCGAGAGGGTGGGAGAGAGATTTGACGTCTTCGAGGGAGGAATTTCAAAATTCGGATCTTGATTTGGAAGCAGTCGCACCCAGAGCACCATTCAGGAAAGACATCACTCGCTTTTCAGAGCTTCATGCCCTGTTTTAGACGAAGGACTTTCCACTTAGATGTAGTGTTTCTTCTGATGTTTCTGTGTACATTTAAGGTTATGAATTAGGACGTTCGTATCTGCCAGGAGCTACACTACACTCATGCGTGGCCTTAACTGTGTAGCTGTTTTCTTTTTAAATCACAGAAACGAAATTGAATGAAAAGCAGCGGCGGTTCAGGAGGAGGAAACAGTTGTGAGCTCCGGTTGACTGGAACTGTCTTCACTTTAAGAATTTCACATTCTTGCAGCAGTGGCACTTATCTGTAGATTGGCCTTCGTCCCAGGACAGATTTTGATTTTTATTTATTTACTTTTTTTCTTGCTTGTACTGTGACGCAGCACTGATGAAGTTGATCTCAGTAGGTCAATTTCATTTCCTTGGATAGATTTGATTCCCATCTCCACACCCCTTTAGAAAATGGACTTTGATCTTGTATCCTTTTTGGCCTGTCAGAGCTTTCTTGAGCCACGAATAACAAAAGTTTTGCCTTTTTAGCTTGTCCAAGTCCCACACATGAGTTTTCCCATAGGGGTAAAATGTAGGCCAACTCGGAACCGAAGTAGAGTAACACTGCTTTTAATTTGTCCCACCTGTGTGTTAGCAGTCATAATTCTGTAACTTGTTCCTCTCTTTTTCTCATCAGGTTATACATTTTTCATTATTTATTCATCTAGCAAATGGGTGTCTTCTGTGTGCCGGGCGTGGATGGCAGAGGTCAGCTCTTGCCCTGAACTGGCTCATGGTGTTGTTTGGAAGCTGATCCATACCTCTCTTCTACCAGCTACCTGAAAGCAATTTGAACAGGTGCTGTGGGAACTTAAATGTGGGAGCATTTCTGCCTGGAGCTTGTTAAGGAAGGCCTCACACAGGCACTTCCAATTGCTGAGAGATTTTCGTTCTAGGCAAAGGGGCTGGCGTGTACGGTGTTGCTTTATGAGAGCTGCATATGGTTCCTCTGGCTGAAGCACACAGTGTCTGGGGTTGGAGTCGTGGCCAGGGCCTGGTGTATTATTCATTTCCGAGCACTTAGCACTTTGCCTTGCTTACAGTGGGCACTCAAATATTTATTGAACTGACTTGAACAGAAACATGAAGGATTTTGTATGCCGCATTAAGAAATTGGGGCTTTATCCAGTCAGTGAATACAGAGCTGCTAATTTTAAGTAGGAGAATGTCATGATAACATGTGCATTCCAGAAGGATAACTGTGGCAGTCTGGAGGATGGTGAGGGTCCAGATGGGAAGTAGGGAGACAGAGCAGGAGCTGTTAATACTGTAGGGTTTAAGTGCTCAGCACTTTTCGATTCACGTTATCTGGGTTTGAATCTGGCTCTGTCGCTCATTATGTAACCTCTTTCTTCCTTAGGTTCTTCGTCTCATAGGGTTTGGGGGATAAAACTTGAAAAACATGTGTGCTACTTAGAATAGTGCTTGGCACATAGGAAGAACTTGGTAGATGCTCGTTGTTATTCTGCGTGAGGGCAGTGGAAGTAGAGATGGTGCGGCCCTTGGCAGGTGTGACTGGTTGGATTAGGTTTACGCGTGTAATGCCCTTGGCGAGTACCTGGCACATTACACGTGCTTAATAAATATTAGTTGTTCCTGTCGTGGTGATAACATCAACGAGCCAGCGGAGGTATGAGAAGGAAGAGTTAAAAACAATTGGTGGTAGGAATAGGGAAAGGAAGATAGTTTTGGACCAACCCATTGAGGTGCTCATGGGTGATTGAGAAGTCTGTGATGCAGTTGTTGGATGGATGTGTCTGGCAGGAGGTAGGAAAGAATGGAAAAGAAAAACAAGAGTTCGCATAAAGCCGTTGTGGGTGTGGTCAGCTTTATGGAAGATTTGGGGGAAGGGGGACAGAGAAGAGGTTTACATATGGCAGTGCCAGGAGTGTTGGTGTCGGATATTGGGCATCTCTAGCTTTAAAATGCATTTTGGCCACCATCACAAGGGAACTCCAGGCTCCTATAATCAGGTTGGCTCTATGCCCTTCTCCCCCTCCTCTTCTCCTTGCTGATCGCGCCCCCAAAATCCAAGTACTTTTTAATTTTGTTATGCAGAGTCATTTAACTCTTCCTGTTTATGGGGCTAAAGTTCACTCTAGGCCCACCTTCCTATGTCAAAATCCAAGGTTTCTAGAAGAATCAAAGTTCTCATTTCATAGGTTTACTTAGGAAGTAATGTGTTGGTTCTAAAATATATATATATATATATGTATATGTAAATACGTTATGTATATCTGTGTATATCTTCATGTAAAATTATAGTTGTAGAAGACTTAGCCAGGCCTAAAATGACCCTGTTAAGGGGCCTGGGAGATTTACAAAATAAATCCCCTTTAGCTTTCCTGTCATGTCTCTTTTCCTCAGAAAGTACAAAAGAGTAGAAAAATCTGTGATTATGTAAGTTGTTTGGTTGGTTGGATAGAAGAAATGGCTATTTTGTGTATTAACTGTTGAGAAGTTGTTAAGAGGAGTTTTTTAAGAAGCAAATGTTCATGATATACGTTCTGGTGATAAATGCATCTAGTTAGTATGTTTTTAAAGAGGCAGGTATCGTAGGCTCTGTCCTTCAGAATGTATGCTTCATAAGAGCAGGGATCCTGATTGGCTCACCGAAGGAGAGTCCCCAAGTACTACAACCGTAAATATTAATGTATGCATGAATAAATGAATTGGATCCATTGGCTTTGATCTGTCTTGGCCCACAGACTTATTGAAATCTTTGGAGCAATCACTGGTCAGAGGGAAAACAAAAAAGGGATTTGAACCAGCAAAGAAGCTTAAAGTATTTCATGTTCTTGTAGGAGGATACCGGAACTGTAACAGAATTTATAACTATTAGGATTCAGTGATTTTAACGCCAGCTGCTATAGTTATTTGCATGATTCCCTCCTTTTCCCCCCTTTACTGTGAAAGTTGTGGGGTGTAGTAGGGAGGAACAGACTTATGTAGGGATATTGCTTTGTTCAGAGTTAAACTGATGACAGCTGTGTCATAACTTTGTCCTCTTATTAGCAAAACTCCAGAGCAGGTAAGAGATTGATAAGAAAAGCTGAAAAGATAGGAATAGAAGAAGTGGTGTGGGCAGAGAGGGTCGAGCATAGTTTATGCCTCTATCTTCCCAGCCTCCAGATTTAATACTATTACTTCTGATAATCAGGATCCCTCGGTGGAGAAATTATGTAGGGGAAATTTTTTTTTCTCTCAAAATTGGACTGGGGAGGAGAAATGAGAAATAGAAACAAGTGTAGAAAATAGGAATAGGCAAATAAAACTTTACGTACTATGTATATATCCAGGTATACTGTAGGAATTACATGTATCGTGTGTTTCTGTGCTTCTTTATATAGATGATATAAACTATCGTGTCCACTTAAAAAGCATACCACTTTTATGTAAACAAATGATGTTTTAATTTTTTCCTCTATTGAAAGAGTAATCTTAGAGTTCTTTTAAATAACAAATTGTAAAAAATGTTCATAACCAAGTTATGAGGATGTATATGTTATGTAAAACAAGGTGTACTTGGCTTTAGTAAAGCTTCCAAAGGCTCTGTTGGTTATTACTTTGTTTTATAGGTAAAAATAAAGTGAGTCTGGTATGTATTTATACCCCTTCCCCCACTCACCCCCCCAAAGTTGGGATTTTGGCTACCAGTATTAAAAATTAATCCTTCATCAGAGTTCTTAATCCTGTTCAGTTAAACTACATAGTTATTGAACCAGTAAATTGGAGTCCTTCGCTTATATCTTTTTTCATTGTTTTATTGTGACTGTTTCCACTTTTCTTCCACATGATTTTAATGTTTGCAGTTTGACTTTCAATTTAAGTGTATGCAGCAAGCAGCATACGTGATGTGATCAACACTGGGCTGGCTGTGAGGGACACAAAAGATTCTCTGCCCTTGGAGAACTTAAAATCTTAAAAGACATTCAGTCGTGGAGTTAATCATTCCGAGGCAAGAGGTAGATGGGCCCCAGGTTAGACATTTACGACTAGTCTCCTGTTTACTCTTTGAGACAAAGATAATAACAGGAACAGGGTAAGCGACTGGACTTTGTCTCCTGTGGACCCTTCGAGATAATGGTAATGGCAGGAGCAAAGAGGGACTAAGCCCTGCTTAGGTCAGGAGGCCACATATTTCTCATTCTTGGGGTCAAGGTGACCTCCCACACTGCACTTGCACAGAAGGGGTCCTCAGGGGAGGGGACAGTAGCCCATAATCTGTCCTGCCAACCTCCCAGAGACCCTCACACTGGAATCCATCTTGGCTAAAAGATACACGTGCACACGGGGGAGGGCCCTGAGTCAGACCAAGTATGGGATGGAAGCAAGATGA